CAGTAACTATCAAGCTGATGTTAGGGTTTGATACTGTAATAATACTTAAAACTGTATGGCAGTACTGAAGGCACATTCATCCTCTGAATAGAATGATCTCTTCTGGAGGCACAGTGTGACAGCAAGAATGGCAGAATTATTCAGTATCTTAGCAGGAATGACAAGAAATTTAGGACATTAGAAAAAAGGAAACCAGAGGATGTTTGACAGCACAGTCCACAAGAGAGTCAGGAGAAAAATGAGCTTATTGGCTGTCTGCTGAAGGCAAGTGAGAGAGGACAGTAATTGGTGAACTGTAATATCAAACTGCCAAGAGCTGCTGATAAAACTGTACCATGGCTGCTGTTCTGAAACTACTACTGCCTTTCCAAGCCCTTCATCTTTCTTCTTGTGCTTTTGTCTAAATTTCTCTTACCATTTGTCTGAGATGGGGAGTGTTTTGTGGCAAGTCATCTTTCCATTTTGCTTGCATGGTATCCAGCACCATGTTTGCGTCCACTAATGTTTCTGCAAAGGGTAACTTTACTGTCAGTACTGATGGCTTTTATTTTCTCATTGGCATCCTTTCTTTGACTGACAGCCAACAAAATGCTTAAACAAGCCTAAATGCTTTTGCTCTACTTCATAAGCTTTTGCATTGAGTCTTTCCCCTGCTCCCATTTCAATCAAGGGCAACATCCTCCTTCAGTGTCAGAGGATCTAAGCAATAAAAATCGTATCAACAAAGCTTAGACAAAAAGCAGATCTAGGAAACTTAGTTATGTGCAGTGGTTAGTCACTGGCTGAGATCACTGACGGCTATAAGCAAAGTACAAGCAGCGGTTAAGAGATTTGGTGGTAGAGGGAAGGAAGAGTGAATGTAACTGTGTTGGTGAGCAGGACTTGATGTCCCTGGGGCTCCAACTCCTCTGTGGTGGGAGGCGTTGCCCTGCCTGCAGGGCTGTATGACCAGTTAGAACAGGGGCTACATCACCCTCTGCATGTCCTTAGTGCATTTCACGCTTCAATGTTAGAAGTGCTAAAAGGCTTATGGGAGTTTGGGGTAGCTAAGAAAGTTTGTTCCAAAATGTCATTTATTCTCTAAAATTCTGTGGAAGCTTCAAGGAAGTGAAATAGATTGAGGATGCTTTGGAGTATTTTCCATCCTCTAAAATGTTGTTAGTATTTCTTTAATTCTTTTGCTGGAAAGCAGCATATGGGGACAGGTCTCCAGTGTGGTCCAGCAGGTTAAAAGATGCAAAGGAAATGCAAGTCAACTGGAGTATTAATGCTACACTTGGTCACTGAAACAGTTAAACAGTAGAAAATCCTCCTTGTTTAGAGTTAATGATCCTTGAAAACATTAGCCTCCTATCATTTGTTATCATCCAGTATTGGACATCCCAGTTTATATTCATGAAAATGAATATATATGTTTTATATTTCTATTCATGAAAAATAAGTAACCTATAATGAGAATTCTGACTTCTTTAGATGAAGAGTTGATGAAAAACTTTGAGTCATAATCTACCTAGAAATAAAAGCATCACAGGAAAAGGCTAGTCATAAATGAAATGGTAATGGAAAGAAACACTTTGCAATATCAGGGAGGTTTATTAGCAGTTTTCATCTATTAGGTGTGTATGTGCTAAAACTATGGACAACTGGTGTTCTGTTGAAAGCATGGTTTAACTTAATGCCCAGGTAAATCTGCTAATATGAGCAGACTTGTCTATGCCCGAGGCTGAAACAATGAACAAAGAGTTCTGCAATTACTGTAGCCATTAGGGGAAAATCCAGTCAAAAAAATGTTATTAAAAATGTTAGAAACTATTCTTTAAAAGTTGGCATGGGTTCAGTAAAAATCTGAGGATGAAAGTATAAATAACATTTGAAAGTGTTAGTGACTTAAGAGATGCTTGTGACTACAGCTTAGCTTTTGCATGTTTACAAGGATGAACTAGTGTGGGTTATGAAGGTTCATGGCAGCCTTGGCTGTGAGATTGCAGAGCTTAAAACACTACAAGAAGTGAGCAAGACAAATAGAACTGTAACCTTGGTTTGAGGAGAGCAGATTGTCTTGTTAAGAGATCTGCTTCCCCTGATCTCAGAGGAGAGTGCGCTGGAGAGCAAAGGGGCCCAGGAGGATTGGTAGATCTTCAAGGACGACCTCCTTGGAGCACAAGAATGGTCCATTGCTACATGTGGGTAGTCAAGCAAGCATGACAGACAGCATGGAGGTACAGGGATCTCCTGACTGAGCTCAAATACAATAAGGAAGACAGAAGGTAGAGGAATTTGCCACCCAGGAGCAGTACAGAGCTATTGCTTGAGTGGTCAGGCCTGACTTAGGAAGGCCAAACCTCAGCAGGAGTTCAGACTTATCAGGAATGTGAAGGGCAACAAGGTGGGCTTCTATAAGTAGCTGGAGAGGAAAAGTAAAATGTAGACTTGCTGCCCTGTGGGGCAGGGAACCTAGTTACAAAGGGCATGGAAAAGGCTGAAGTAGCCAATGCCTTTTTGCATAGGTGTTTATTGGGGAAGTCTGCCCTCGGGCCATGAAGCATTATTGATTGTAGAGGAGGACAGAATTAGGGAGCATTTCAGCTAAGTGGACATAACCAAATCCATGGGGCAACGTGGGGTGTGCCTGAGGGAGCTGGAGAAGTGGGCTGACAAGAACCATTGTCTTACAAAGGCAAAGTCTATCCTGCATCTGGGATGGAATAACCCCATACACTAGTATGGGATGGGCCCTAACAGGATAGAAAACTTCCCAGGAAAGGACCTGGGGTACCAGAAGCTGAACATGTCAGCCATGTGGCCTTGCAGCACAGGAGGCCAACTGCATTGTGGACTCTACTCAGGGTAGCTAGCAGGTTGATGGAAGTGATTATTCCCCCCTATTTAGCATTTGTGAGACTGGAGGACAGTGTTCACTTTTGGGCTCCCCAGTGTAAGAAAGATACTGACATACTGGAACACGTCTAGGGTCATCAAGCTGACTTGGGGCTGGAGTATATGATGTATGAGATGAATGTGAGGAAACTCGCACATGTGAGGTGACCGCCTTCCTTAGGAAGAGAACACTAAGGGGAAATCTTAATACTGTCAGCAACTTCCAAATGTGAGGATATAGTAAAGACAGTCAGGCTCTTCTTGGAGGTGTACAGTAATTAAAAGGCAATGGTCATAAGTTGCAATATGGTTGATCCTGATTAGGGGAATTCTACTACAGAAGAATTTTTCCAGCATAAGAGTTGGCAAAAACACTTAAGCTTTCCAGGAGTGGTTGTGAAATCTCCATCTTTGGAGATGATCAGAACTTGAGTGGATCTCAGAGGACTTCTTTGAATGGGGGTTGGATCAGATGACTCCCAGAGTTCCCTTCCAATCTAAATTAAACCTAAAGTAAAACTGAATATATTTCAGTCCTTTATTCTAGTCTTTTAAAAGCATTTTCTCACCTGATATCACTCCTGGTTGGTTTTTATTGCTTTAGTTGTAGTTTACTCACAGATGTATTTTTTTCTAAGCCATAAAGCAGATATGGGGAAATCTCTGCTTCACAGGCTGCATTCACTCTGCTAGACCAACTCTCCTAACTGTTGCCTTTTCCCCTGCTACCTTTTCTGAGGCTGCTTAGGGCAGGTTGGAAAGAGAATAATTTCTTGTCTGTGTTCTTGAGGACTCTGCAGCTCCTTCCCCCATGGACAAATTGGGTGTTTGCCATCATGTTATCCATAAATCTCTGGCCATGTAATGACCTCCTTGCAAAGGAGGTGTAATTCTGGTATATTTTAACTGAAAGGTCTTCCAGCCTAGCACTAGAAATCAGATTTAATTACGAGGGTGGAAATGACAGTATACTCAAGACTTCCAGTGCAGCCACAAACATCCTCCAGCAATACTATCAGTGACTTACTCTTACCATTTCACTAAGAGTATGCCTACTTCAGTCACCCATTCTAACAACAAATATGGGTTATGGTTTTTAAATCAATCTCTTTAACCTTTTTTAAGGCTGTTTCTGCTGACAGTATGAGCCTGCCTCATGTGTTTAATATAAAACCCTTTGCAAATTGTAAAATTCTTCCCCAGGTATCCCTCACAACTGTTGTGGGGATGAACTGTGATACTCTTAATTCCAGTGTGTACATCTCCATGCTTAAAAGGACAGCAAAATTCAATGTAATAGCACTTCCATTGTTACATTCTAAAGCTTGCTCCACAACAGAAAGCAAATATGAGTTGTCCTAGGAAAAAAAAACCCTAGTATGCTAGGGAAGCTGCAGCTGTCTTTTAATAGAGTAGTGAAAGGTAGAGAATGTTTTATTAAGGCTCAAGTGACTCAGTTCGTTACACATGTAACGAAGCGAAATGTAGCAATGCATGATACATAGACAAGATCTAATGGCCTTAAGTTCTGTGAGTGTGAAGGATGAAGAAGTGACAGAACAGTGCACAATCCTCCTTAACCAGGATGATAGAATTGGAAAGCTACTTACTATCTGTTATACAATCCTACTTCCTTGTTTAGATGATTTATTATATAAAGTTTCCTTCTGAAGAACTACAGCTCCAGAGAGGGATGAGGAGTTCTCTCGCATGTCTACATTTTAGTTGGACCAAATATCAGCACTTCAGTTTTTGGCAGCTCTGTATGTAGCACATAAGTTTAATTAGGTCATCAACCTGTCCCTTTAGTGTTCCAGTGTAACACCTTAATGCCTGAATAAAATACTTTGGGGGGGGGGGAAAGAGGTCATCTACCAGGTCATTATTTGGAGCCCCTGTGTTTCTTGAGTGCACTGATTTGGCAGCAAGCGAAAGTTCAGGCCAATGAGCTGGAGAACGGAGCTGCAGCAATTTCTGACTTCAGTGGGATATAGTTCTGAGTATTTGTCATATCAACAATGCTGAAACAGTAGCTTCTGCTTAGTGTACCACCTAGCTCATTTAAACACATAATAAAATTTTATTTAAAGTTTTTACCTGAGAGATGAAGACATTGATTCCATTGTACTAAAATATACTTTATTAAATACCAAAATATTTTCCCTCTGTCAAATATATTAATAGGATTTACTCAAATGGATACATGCACTTTTTTAATGTTAACATATACGTTGGCATTTCTCAGGTCTCTTTTCTGCGAGGTTTGCATCATGTGTAACATGTCCAAGTTTTCAGTGTGAAATTAGACAAAGCTCCCAAAATTTTTTATAAAACAGTTCTATCAACTGCTTTTGCATGTCTACAGATCTTCAGCATCTTTTTCTAACTGAAGATGTGTGAATTTATGTGAGTTTTAGGTATCTCACTCCTCTGAATGATCAGCATCTCATGACCAGCATCTTCCCACTTACGCCTTCTGTCAAATTTTCTATCCTATCATTTAAAGGCTGAAAGAATAAGGATGCATTATCCAGTTTAGGAATAGGCATGCGACAACCCCTTCTGCAGCTTTGCCACTACCTTTACTATTATTTTCACTTGCACCTGCAAGTCTCAACTATAAGCCTGTCAGCACAGGGACCTGCCTTACTTGCTCTAGCTGTGGTTCACAAAAGTGAAGATCCAATAACTTGGCATTCCAAGTTTCATGCACGACTGCATGCCTTGCTTCAGACTCTCCCGATCTGTTGAGTGTTGTACATTGATTTCTGCTGTCTGCTATACCTTTCATCTTCCCATGAAATTTCAGCAAAGTGTCCTGATGCACTAAACCTGAATTTAAGGCTTCTAGTGCTAGGAGCTTAGTGGATGGATGATGCACATGGCTGCTCCAGTCTCAACACCCATATTTGTTCAACTTTCTTCAGAAAATGTGGATAGGTTAATTTTGAGTTGGCAGAAGTCCTGTTGGATCCTGCCAGTACTGTAATTCTGCTACCTCTCCTGCTGGTATCTGTAATGTTACCCTTCCTCTTTGGCTGGTCACTGAAGCTGCTCTGGCTGGGTATGTTCTCCACTTCTTGAAAGCTTCTATGGGAAGTACACTCATTTGAGAAAATAAATCTGTAATTTAAGGGACAGATTTTTTTATACATATTGAGGAACACATCTGGAGTGGTTATTAAAATTCAAATAGGGAAATATATACATAAGCAACAGCTTGAATTTAGACAGTAGGCAAACAAGACACTTCAGAATAATAGCTCTGTAGCTTTGCTGCTGGTTCCAAATAGTGAGGCAAATAGCCATGAAAAGACTGAAGGAATTTTAGTAACTTTCTACAGCAACTAGCTCATTAGCAATAATGAAAACATGTTTGGGAAGGGTTTATTTGATCACATAAAACTACCACAGAACTCTAAGTCCTAAGAAATCATTTTCAGTGTCAAAGGCTGCCTCATAAGAGTAACACTGTTCTGCTCTTGCATATTTTATTTAAGATTTTGTGTGAACTGCAAAATACACTTCTAAAATAGCTCTTTCCTGTGGGAAACAGGAAAAAGGCATATATATGAGGACCTGAAAAGGGATTAATAGCTACAGTTGTAGTCCTGAACCATTTTCCATTATGTGGGCCCCAGTTTAATTCATTTGTGCCATTACATGGCTGCGTGTTTTGACTGCATCTTTGCATGAAAGACTTTTTTGCATCATGCAGTTTAAACTGACAATTTTTACATTTCATATAGTAAAATAAGCTAAGAAGTAAATGTGTTCTCTGTAGCTAGTCTCTTGATTATGTACGTAAATGGCATCCTCCTATCATACTGCTCAAGTATTGTCTTCCTTCTACCTCCACAAGACAGACATCTTCACCATTTTGCCTCCCCTCACACAGCAGTTCTTCCACACTTAGGTCCTCAAGCCCACTTTCATTTCTACCTACCACGTAAGAACCAGAGATACTTTTGCCTTTCAACTACACCCACTGAGCAGTAGTTTGAACTCACAGGTTACTGCACTTGCAGATGAAAGGGAAGCAGTTCAAATAAGTCATCCATTTTTTCCACAGTGCAGCAAAGCATCGAAACTGCTTGTAGGATGCATCTCTTTTGGAAATTGCATGTTAAGCAAGTGATGCATCAGCTATCCTTACAATGTGCACATAAAGCTCCCTAGTTTGTATTTAACTTACCCTCTTCTTGGATACTGTGTTTATCCCCTAACTACCATTTAGTTGTTTATAAATAAATTGTCTGTAAAGCTTTTTTGAATGAAAGATTTAAAAATATTTTTTCCTGATGTTTGAGCAACTGACCACTCACTTGAGTAGTGATTCTGTCATGTGTGCTCCCAGTGACTTAAACAGAACTGTTCTGCTAAGTAAACTGCTACCTACTGGGAGACAGAATGCCAGAGTCCAGTCTTACATATCCTGAAAACACACTTTCACCAAAAAGGAATGAAGTAACATAGGACTTAGCAAAACAAAGTTCAACTATGCAGTTAAAGAAATTAGCATATTTGCTGAAAGTAATGGAAAGGGATAACTGATCTATTTAAACTCCAGAGATGAAAAAAACCAAAAAGAAATGACACAACCCTCATCATGGATTTAGTGGAAATCAGCTGTTACTGATATAATGACTATTCATTGTCAGCACTTTGTTGATCAACCTTCCCTGCAGAAGGCAGACGGTTCAATAATGTCTTGAATATGTGACTTTGCCGGGTGGGCTCCAGGGAGAAGGTGCTTCATCTGCAAGGACAGCCTTGAGCTTCTTTTGCTTCTTCTCAAGCTGCTCTTTCCTCTCTTTCTTTTCCTGAGAATAAAAACTGTGTCAAAAAAGAACTCCTCCAATGGAAAAGTTGTTGTCATTGTTATACCTTTCTTGTGTAAAACTGGAAGTTAACATACAATGACGATTTGCCTTTTGGAGCTTAGAGCATCCCTTTGGGGGATGTCATGCTGTGCAATGCAACAAGCAGACTACACACCTGCTGTCCTTTACAATTAAGGTTACTGTTTCAAGGATGAGCTGCTTTTGTGCACTATCAAACAAAAAGCACACCAGAACCCACAGTAGACTATGTATTTTGTATGTAGTTATTTTCATCATAATTCTTCAAACTGCAGTTCCTTTCTTTAAGAGGATATGTAGATCACAATGCTAGATGTTGTTCTGATTATGTTTGATAATTGGTGTAACTTTCTGTACTTACTAAATCAAACTTTCCAATGCTAGAATAAATCAGGAAGTAAACAATTTAATTATAAACAAACCTCTAACTTATGTTATTAAGCACTGTAAGGGTCTGATGACATTTTCTCTTGTTTCAAACAGCATTGGGCAGTTAGGATGATGAAGGAAAATACTTGCAATATTCTTTTTGTGTCAGATTAACTAGTGATTTTCAAGAGACCCTTTATTTGAAATAACTTGCAATTATTTACAATTATTTTTGAATTTTTAGACTGAACTGTTCTATGCAAAATAAGTATTCTTCATAAAGATGCCTGCCATTTTATAACTATGTGCACCAGTATCTAAGGATGCATCTCCATTAGCAATGTAGTATGCTGGAGAGTTCTTTTTAGGTGCAAATTTGCCTTATGTCATACTTGGAGGCCTGGGATACATGGCTTGTGTAAGGAGAAAAGAGCAAGAGTACTAGCACTTAGTACAAGTCACTAAAGTAGTTGAAGCCTTAGGCCACAGCCAATGCCAGCTGGAGCCTGTTTTTTACAGAACAAGGAATACTGTAACTATCGCAGATAACTGTTGCAGAGGTAACCTAAAGCTACCCCTCCCAGCAACAGAGTGCCAATGGACCACAAGAAAATGAATAACAGAAGTCATGCCATTGCTTAATAGGGAGCGGACTATGGTGGGGGGGAGTTTGTCATGAGGTTGTAATGGGATAAACAGAACCAAGAACCTGTGGGTGGGATCCCTCCTTGGAGGCACCCAACTTACGCTGTACCTTTATTACACACAACAAACCATTTTTAGTTTAGAAAAATATTTGATGTTTAATTAGGAAAATAAGTGGAGAACTAAGGTTGAACCAAAACGGTCGAAGGTGGCGACTGCATAACGCCTGCCATAAAAGGTGGCGACTGTGTAATTCCTGCAGCACCTGAGCCCACCACTTCAAGTAACTTCTCTTGCAAGCTTAGACTAGTTTCTCTCTTAGTGGAATCAAGGTTGATGCTGTGCAGCAGAGCATCACCTGGGCTGTTCCATGTGACCGGTGGGTGAAAGGGCCTTGAGCAGCTAGCTTTCTGCGTGTGAACAGTGCTTGCCCAGGACCAGCAACTGGCACAAACAGCATCAGTGGTAAAACGCAATGGGGACCTACAGTCCTGGTACAGAATGACCTACAGTCATTACAGTACGCCAAATCCAGCCATGGTCCTGGCCTCTTTAGGGCTGCATCAGACGGCATTTTGAGGCACCCCAGAAGTCGTGTATTTTCACATGTATAAACTGCATCCAGTACTGTTCCTTGAAGGGGAATCCTTAAAATAACCAGCACTCCCAGATGTTCCTCAGAGGGATAGGAACATGGGTTACTATCTCCAGAAAATTGCCAAGATCTTAGCTGCGTCTGCCTGTTCTTCATAAGTTTACCCTGGCTAAGGGAACAGACTGGCAAACTGGGGCAGATGTGTCATTGTAAAAGGGAGGGGGTCGGTATTAGTGCCAATTTTTCCTTGTATTACATGCATACACCATTCAAACTGTACTAATGCTAGTTATACATGTGATAAAGTGTAACACACCTGAAACATCAACCCTATCAGGTCTTTGTTAACATAAACAGGAAGATCCATTTCAGTTACGAATGTCTAATCTGGCTAAGTAAACTAACAATTACTTCATGCTGGAGTAGTAAAGCTGTGAAGTAGTAAAGCCTGCCCCTTATAAGCAGGGCAAGGTTTGCATGAAGAAACGCCTTTTATTAAAAAAAGTGATACTGCACTTCATCAGTTAAGTCTACTAAAAGATACTATCTCTCCCTATAAACTCTTATCTTCCCCAATTACATAAAATAATTGAAACAAATTTGGCTCATCTCTCATCGTTCACTTTTGTCATCTTCCTTCTTTCATAAAAAAACTTCCTTAGATTAACACAACTAGTGGCTTTCAGTCTTCAGAACAAGTTCAAGATATTTTGGAAATTTTTAAAGGGAACAAGTCAGTGCCCTGAGAGGGAAAGGGATCTGCACTGTCAGTATTTTTCAAAAACTAAGACAAGATATGCACAAGCAGTATAGAGCTGCTCTATGATGTAGGAGCCCTACATGATTCATGTTACTATTTGGAATATTTGCACATATCCTACAAATTTTTTTTCAAAAATTTAGTCATTCTGCCAATCTTAGAATCTGAATTTGACATTTAAAAATGGCAGTGACTGTAGCAGTATTGGCAATAACTTTAGAAATAGTGTTGCAAAGAAGTGTGCATATTTTATGTTTATAAAGCACTCTTCTACTGGATATGTTGCACAGTATAGTCATGTTTGAATATCCCAAACAAAAAATAAAGCATATACCCAGGAAGGGACTGATAGTTACTTTAGACTTTTTAATTAAGCATGTTACAATTCTGAATTTCTAAGTTTAGAGATCCAATTTTCATGAATGAATCCCAATGCTAAGCAAATAGTGTTGGTTTAATTTAGTTGGGTTTTAAAAGATTAAATTTGACAGGAAGCCTCACTGACTTCTTCCCTGCCTCCAACACAAAGCTTTTTATGTACTAGTCCTGACCACACTTCACATATCTGATCGAAATCTTCCCTAAGATGATAAACAAGAGGTTAAATGCACTAATGGGAAAAGGGTAGCAGGAATGATGAAAGAGAAAAACAACTGTAGCTTATCATACACTAGATAACTTTGTGGCTTGGCCTCTCCGTGGATGTTTCCTACTCAATAGCCTGGTAAGATGAATATATTTTTCACTTAAAAATTCCTGGGAAGTTGACATTCTTTAGTAGTATGACTGCCACATAATTGAATTTTAGATAGTACAGAAGCCTTAGAACAGTTAAGAGGAATAATAAGAACAGCCATAATCCTAACATACTGCAATGCCAGGAGATTAAAATTCCAATATAGAAAGAATTTTCAGATCTTATTAAACCATATGAGGTGATTAATTCACATCAGCTGTTTCTAGCCCAGAAAAGCAACAAATCCATGAGACTCATCCCGTACAACTTACACTCATTTCTGATGTTTTTAATAGCTTTAGAATGCCAAAAATAGGTGTTACCATGCTCAACCTCAACATAAAGTTTAAACTTTTTATAGGATGTGTAACTTTCCTATATGCTTTTCTTTTTTCAAGAATTATAAATCTGAAAGAATGCACAGTGCAACCTTACTTTTCATCAACACATACCAGGTTTAGAGTTACCACATATAATGGAGAACATTTACAGATATCTAGGATACTAATATTTTTTTCTTGGTTGTTACAGAAAAATAGATTAACATCTCAAAAATAATGGCAACTAAGTTGAACTGCTGCTATAAACTTTCTGCATGTTTTTTCTCCACGTTCCATTCCACCGAATAGGTACATGTCAATGACAAGTGTCAGTATTAAGTAAAAAGTGATGACTTATCAAGCACTACATCTGGATTGGCTGGAAGAGTGCATGGTGATTTGAAAGACACAAATGCTATGAAAGAAACAAAAAAATCAGAAACTTAAACTCTCAGCCAAACTGAGGTATCTCAGCTCAGGGTTATCCTTTTTATATTAGTTTCTCACAAGCCTTAATAGCCTTTTTCAGAAAATTTATTTTCATGCCTTAAAAAGGCACTACACTATGCACTTATGTTATCAAACATTCACACAATGACCTCTAAAAGCATAAACAACACAATTTCTATTAACATAACAGTAGAATGTTTCTTATGTTTTAGAATTACTACAGGGAGATTTTTAAACGTTTGTTTTACCCACCCATTATGGCCAACATCTGCTTCTAGAAAGTGGAGGATTAATTCACACATTTATTTCTGTTTATTGTTAATGAAAACATACTAGACTTCTTCCCACTATATTACTCCTACATTGGTAATATTCCCTTTCAGACAAAAATCCTCTTACTCTAAATAATACACTTAAAAGCCTTCCACAATTCTGCCCTCTCAAATTTGACATGCATTGATCTACTCATATGCAAACATCATCTGAGTTCCCTTGATAATAAAGTGACAACTTTACTTACACAAGCGTTTCTCTCCTGCAGTTTACTGAAAGTGCATATTTACCTCTATTACTATGCAAAGTGAAATATTATTCTTGTCAAAGAATATGATGAACAGATGCTTGATATGCTGTTTCAAATAAAGGCATGTTAGCTGCAGAAAAGGGGACAATTTTAGAAAGTAAGAGTGTGAAGACTTGGCATGGGAAACATCGGCAAACCTTTCCTTTCACGGTGATCATTCTCACTTTCACATGAACACTGAAAAAGAGATAATTTTAGAGGTCTCTTTGCCAGCCAAGTTGGTACTTATCACATCCTCCAACTTCTGCTTATTTTTTAAGCTGCTCCTCCCATTCAGCGACATGTCTATCCATTTAGATCTGGTCATTCCTCCAACTACTAAAATTTATGTTTTATTAATAATCCCACTAAAGTGGGGTTACGATGACCTGGAGATTCTATACACAATTTGAACAGGAGAGCCTGTGTTAGGCAGCAGATTTCATTCCTGAATAAAGGATTTTTTCCCCCCTTCATATGGAGTCCGAAACAACAAGGAGGTTGAATGCGCAATGACAGGCAACATTCATGTTTTGGTATGACTAAGCAAATTGAGGATAGTCTTTGTAAGCAGAGCACACCTAGGCAAAGTGCTAGCTACTACTCAAAGAACCGTAGTTCTTTCTTTGGGAACGGGAAGTGTTAACTAAGCAAGAAATAACCTAAGATTGGACATTGATCATTGCACAAAACTGAGCTGGAAATCACTTTACAGAGGGGATTGTTCTCACCAGTGACTACAGAAATCAAAGGTGTTCCAGCAGGGAACCAGGTCAAATAAGGTCTTAAAAGACTCAAGCCTAAGACCAAAAATGCTTGAGAAGAAAGAAAAAGGAAAATATACATAGTTACTGTTTTAGGTAACTACACATTTTCTGAGTTAGCTAAGTAAAAAGATGCTTTTTCCTTTAAAATCTGTCCCAAACCTGTATTTCTGTCTGCCTCACTTCTCATCCATCCCTGGAGAACAAACAGAAAGCCCACTAGAGGCTCTGGAAATTTTTTTTTCTGAACTATTGACGGTACAAATTCACCTTAGCAAAGGTCTTCAGCCAGCTGGGTTGCAAGATCCCATTTGGATGAAAGGCAACAGAAAGCTTATATACAGGGATCTGCCAGAAATTGCAAGCATGAGAGACAACAGAAGAAACACATTCAAACCCAGAAAACCTTGAAAGCTACTATGATGAATGACTGCATAACGGGGTGAAGATGAAAAGCTTTATTTTTTCTTTACCTCACAAGTCACATGTCTGACAAAACAGTATATGCTAACAATATTAGCAATCTCTCTCCTAGTTTGCCTGTCTATAGCAAGGAGAAAATACTGCATTATTGTTGGGAGTAGACTACTAGATTAGTTTACTTCTTCACAACTGGGAATAAAGCATGCTGTTGCAGAAATAATAAAATTGGGAGCACCAGAGTTCAACTCTTTCTAGTAAATGGAAATAATCTCAAACCTCAAGATAATTGCTTTAACCTAATTTAAAGTATTGAATTCTCCACTCTAAATATTTCCTTGAACATAAATGCTCTCACTTTTGCAGCTGGTGCTGCTGCTAAGCTTTGCTGGTTCTGTGCTGTGATGAGTTGGCCCTTCAGAGATAGCTGTTCCTGACATGGAATGAGAAAAAAAGATGACTGACTATGAAACTTAAAACTCTATAGCATATAAGTAGGGAGGATATATTTTCCATGTATGCTAATTATCAAGCACACTGTACTCTGCCATCATTCTGCTCAAGAACATTTGGGAACTAGTTACACAATACTGCCATCATCTGGTCTCTTTCCTAAAAACATGAACAAACGAAGATTACAATATAAAAGTATTCACACTCATTCCTATTCATTAACCTTTTTGGTTTTGACAAAGTGCATAAAAAGTATTTACCAGCCATCTTTCATATTCTTCCATAGCCCTTTTATCTTTTTCTTCTTTCTTCTCCTGTTGCATTTCTTGCTTTCTTCTCTCTACGTCTTTTTCTACCTTCTTTTTTTTAATACATTCCTCCTTTTTTTCATTCCTGTATAATGAGAGAGATGAACAGGAGACCATCACTTAACATGGTAAATGCTACATCTGTGATAACTAACCAAACAGAGTAGAGCCAGAAGAGATAAGTTATGCATTTGGTAACAGACTGAGAACATACTGGAAAGAAAACTTATAAAATCTTCAAAGTCCATCTTGATATATTATACCACCAAGGTATACATGAACCTACTGTCATACCTGTTATGGCATTATCTTTTCCATACTACTCTCTCCCTTATTTTAAATCATATAAAAATGAGATTCAAAAGTAAGTTGCGCATGCTCTCTGAAATCTGGATTTATAAAACTAAAAAAGAATTTCTCCAGCGGACACATCTGTCTGCTTCTGAATACAACACCTAGGTTCATACATTGTATTGCACAGAGCAAAAATAAAACCTTAAGAAAGGTTTACCTTCCTTCCTGCAGCTTCGTATTGAAGTATGAAACTAATCACATAAACATTACACTACTCAGTTAATCTTACTTCTAAGTTGCAATAACTGTGCCTGGGCTCAGTCAATGGCCTTTTGGGGAAGAGAGCATTTAAGTTACAAAACTGAAAGGGGATGGACAGCTTGTTCTCATTGTTATGCTTGTTCTCCATTGAGAGGGAAAAGACTGATCCCAGGTATGCCCTGTTCTCCCAATCACAAGCACATGAAGCACTCGCAAAAGATCTAGTGCATTTAAGCAAAGGTTTGGGAAACTATTTTACTCCAAAACCCAATGCGGTAATACCATTTTTCAACTGCAGACATGCTGTCTCTCTTCTTTTCTGCAACAAATTCCTCTTCTTTCTTCTTCCTGATTCTTTCAGTCTGTTTTTCCTTTCTACTTCGCTCTCTTAAGTATTCTACTTTCCTTTCTTTCCATTTTTCAAATGCCTAAGGAAAACCACAGATTCATCAGCAATCTTACTCCCTCATCTTTTTGTCAACACTCTCCTTGCTTCTTCTGCATTACTATTCTTTCTATATCTACATATTCTAGTTTTGGAATAGTTGTTCGCAGCATTGCTCAAACAGATATCACTATGTAAAAAGGATTAAATTATTTTTCCCAGTAAGTAATACAGTTCTTTGTAAATGTATTTACATGGAGTTTATTTTACATTTAGCTCAGAAACTGAACTATACAAGAACACAAAAACACCTATTTGTGTGCAGATCTAGTCATTACACATTTTCAGCACAGAACAGAATCCAGCTATGAGCTCTCCTCAGAAATGAGCCATGTTCAGATATTAGAATCTAGTTTATTTCCATCTCTTGCTGGATTATTCAAAGTTTTTCTCAACAATTTCCTGAACAATATCTGAGATTTATTTATGTATTTCACATTACCTTCTGTGCTGCTTCTCTTTTCTCCTCATCCTGTTCTGCCACTCTCTTTTTCTCAAGTTCCTCAAGCTTCCTTTTCTCACTTAATTTCTTTGCCTCTCTTTCTTTCATTGCTTTCCAGGCTTCAAAAGATGCAATTGCTTCCCCTCTTTTAACAGCTTCTTTCTAGATTGAAAATAACAGTCTATATTTAAATACCATTAAATATCCTTAAATATAAAATATATAACTATAATTGGAAATGTATGCTTTAATCAAATGCTACGTTTGAGAATGAGTTTGAGCAACAAAAAAAGGAAAGGGATTTGCCAGACAACATTGCAAACAACACTCAAAATTGGATACAAACAGAATTTTTTTTCCTTCCTCGCTCATTTTTAATTTAAGATTCAAATGATGCAAACTACTAGAATATGTATGTAAAAGAACATGAAATACAGGAAAATAATGAGAGAGATTTGTTTCATACTTAAAAGCCAGATCTAAGAATTGTGTATGTACTGTTCAAGCTACAGTCCTCTGTAGATTACATCTCTTGAGATGGCAAGAGGGAGCAAATTCATTTCCTGACAGGTGACAAGTTAAAACTTCGCAGCTGAAGAGCAGAGCATCTCGAGGTCTTTATAAACAAACCTGAAAATCAGTCCAGGAAGCACACTTTCAAAACATCTGCAACTGTAAGAATTAGGAAGTGCCACTGTTTCAGCTCACCTTGCACTATTCAGAGAAAAATAGAAACCTTACAAGGGCAAGGTGATGTAATTAGGCGGAAAGCAGTGCACACCCACAATCAAAAAAAAAAAATTTTCGTAATACACAACAACTAATATGTTGATGACATTACTTCAAAGAGTTACAGTCAGCCTCTCTCAAAACAAGAATGTAAACAAACCTTTTCAATATTGTTCCTGAGATTTTCAGCTTGCTTCTTTCTAATTCTCTTTAATTCCAGTAGAGAGACTCTTTTCTTTTCCAACCAATCCTGTAAGATTCATTAGAAGACTTCTATACTTCAAGTGTTTTTGAGCTATAACTAAAGAAGTTCTATCAAAACAACTAAATATTATTAAAGTATCACCAACATAATGACCACCAAAAATACTCTTACTTTTTCCATGTGCTAGTTAAATAATTATCCCATATGAAAAAAAAGCTGTGATTCAAATCACATTATTCTGAGCATCTTCAGCACACAAACATTACAATCAAAAAAGTCAGAAGTTTTAAAATTACAGTTACAAATATTAAGAATTTCAAGGATCTTTTTAAAAAAAATCAGCAGGACATAAACATAAAAATAAAAAAAGAAAAATGGAATAACGATTCTTGCTAGTTGGGATATAGGAATATTGCTTAGATTCATTGTGTCTTCTGCTAATAACTAAAATTAAACAGAATAAAATCCAAATAGGAAGAGTGAGACTACAAGCATCCATAAAGTGTTGCAAGCCATTTGCAGAATCAAGGTCAAATTTTCAAGGTTTACTTAAGTTTTTCATAAGTTGCTTAAAGATAGAGTGTCTTAAATTAAGCCTATTTTACCATTAAAAATTATGGAAACAAAATAAAACATGAATTTCAGGTTCTATATTTTGTTTTAGAATTATAACAATATCACAAACACATACCAATATGAATAGTATTTGTTATTAATGCAATTTTTTCTCGCACAGATCAGTAGTAAAAATCTGTTGGAAGCTGTTTTAATCGTACAAAAATTGTATGCTGAATCCACATAGATTATCCTTCTGAAGAGAACACTAAACTTGTTTTCACTTTTCATAAATGCCAGTTGAAGACAACATACCAGGAAAAGGAACTTTAAACAACACACTTATTTTTATTAAGAAAAAAAAAAAGAGAAATAAAGGAAATTACCTTATGTGTCTGAAAACAGTCTGACACAACTATATCTTATGAACCACAACATGTCCCTCTCATCTAACTTTTTAGTTCATAACTTGATGAAAAGGCATGGTCAAATAAAAGGATTCTTACACCTGTAAGTATATGCAAGTAACAGAGATACTGATTTCAAAAAATAAGAGGTGTTGACTCCTCTAAGAGGACCTTTCTATGCATAGTTTGGTTTTGTTAAGTTTTACCTTGTAAACGGCTGCTCGTAAACTGTCTGCTTTGCCAAGTTCTGCACTGTACTTCTGCAAGTGCTTATCTTCCAGCACCTTTAACGTCCCCAAGTACTGGGGTGAAACGGCTGTAGATGAAGGAATAGCTTTCACATTTTTCTTTAAGTGGGAAAAAGATACAGACCTATAAAGATACCAAGACACAAACATATGAAAATGATCTTTCTGTTTATTGTAGTTGATACCAAGTAGTGTTCCTTTTCATCCAGTGTATACCAGAAGTTATTGTAATTCTGCTTTTACATGCTCTTGATCAGGGATAGGGCAGAAGGAGAGGAGGAAAAAGCCTGCTTTCTTCTGAAGAGCTTATTACTGCCAAAACAAGCCATTGTGCAACATATTCAGCCCAAGGAACTTTACAATTTCCTTATCTACAAACCAGCTTAAAAACTCTAAAAGCACCAAGGACTGCACTCACTGGTGGATCCAGTAGCAAATGCTCATCACAGGCTTTGGTAAAAGGCTTGGTGTCTGATCTGACAGAGAAGATAATGAGCAGGGGTAATAATAACATGCCACATTTCCTGGGATGTTTTCCACATGTAGTTAAGAAGTTGTCAGTGGTCAAGAAAACGCTGACAGAATATGAGAGAAACCAGCATTCTGAGGATACTTACATGTATCTTATGCTTTGGAACTGTGGACTGTGATGTATAGCATCTTTCTCTTACCTGCCAGATGAAGATACTTTCATTTTTTGTGGAGCTGTCTCCTTCGTTTCACTTTGTTTCTAATACAAAAGGAAAAGAAAAAAAAATATAGAGTCTCTCAGGTAACAGAACTAGGTCAGGAATACAGACAATTTACAAGCTAAGAAGGATGTTAAATACATATGCAAGAAAGCCAGTCTAATACAGAAAGGGTACAGTGCACGGTAAGAAAGTAAACAACTTTTGGAATGTATGTAGCTTTTTGGAATGGCACTCAAAAACCTTTCCTTATATTTTCTAGAAATGTTGTCTGTAGTCTAGAAATACAGAGGAATAAAAAGAACCCAAATAGACAGGGGTTCTCCTGTTAATATACTACCGTTCTTTTAATTTTTGTTTTAACATTTAGCTTTAGTAGTTATATATGTGTACATATTTTCTTTTTTATAATAACGCATGAAGTGCATTGCATCTTATGCATTACTCAAGTCGCACCATGGATTCCACCGTCTGGTAATATACACTGCTCATTTCAATTCAGCTAACCTCAAAATAGAGGTCTGACGTTTTCCTTTGGATAAGGATATTTCATTAAGAATGGAAAACGTATATTTCAATAACTTTACCTGTTTTAAATATATGTGTAATAGGAATTCCCTATATCTTCCTTAAAACTACTCATAATTTATAAAAGCATCAGCTCCAGAAACTGGAAACGGTCACCTGTACATGTACACGTACCAGAATTC